ATACTACCTACCACTGTTAGCGAGTGAATTGCACCTGCGAGTGAATGGTAAGTATGTCCACTTTGTCCTATATAGTATCTCGAGAAGTATAAGAATCTATAGAGACCTAGCAAATCTCTATACTGTGCACTATTAACGATATCCTATAATGGTTTTTCATCCACTTCTGCAACTAATAACGCCGGTTTTTAGCATTTTATTACTAAAAACACGTTTTATTCCAGCGACTCATGACGGTGCAGCTCGCCATGTTTGTTGTTTATAAATAACTAATTGCCAGGTTGTTATCCAATTTTAAGAACAGCTCTTTTCGTTGCCAGCTTCTTGTTTTCATTTTGTTAAAGCGATACTTTTCATTATTATTATTTAGTATTATAAATATTAACTGTTTTTACCATTGTTATTAAATATTCTGGTACAATAATGACATTTATTAAATTTAGAGCCAACAGCTATTACATACTGAAGGTACATTCAAATCAAATCCCCATTTGAAAATGTTTCGTTGTCAACGATGCTTTTACTGTAGGACCATATCATTTATGATCAATATAGATACATTTAGAAAACTTAATTATATTTATTACACTTAGGATAACTTTCATAGCATTTGAAAAAAAATTACACTTGGGACCTTTATTACATTTAGACCTAAAAATTATTACACTTAGAACCTTTTTATAACATTTAGAACCAAAATTATTACACTTAGAACCTTTATTATATTCAGACCCAAAAATGATTACACTTAGGACCTACATTTAGACCCAAAAATGATTACACTTAGAACCTTTTTATTACATTTAGACCAAAAATTATTACACTTAGAACCTTTATTACATTTAGACCCCAAAATTATTACACTTAGGACCTAATTATTACATTTAGACCCTTATTACACTTAGAAAATTTTTATTACATTTAGACCAAAAAACTATTACACAATTAGGATTTGTATAGGCCCCCAAAAATTGTTACACTTAGGACTCTTATTATATTTAGACCCAAAAATTATTACACTTAGAACCCTTTTATTACATTTAGACCCAAAATTATTACACTTGGAACCTTAATTACATTTAGACCCAAAAACTATTACACATTAGCATTTGTATAGACCCCAAAAATTGTTACACTAGACACCTTTATTACATTTAGACCCAACAGTTATTACATATAGGCCTATAACCTGTATTACATTTAGAGCCAAAAATTATTACACTTGGGACCCTCATAATTACATTTAATGCCAAAATTAAATTCACATAGGATATTTAGGACCATTCTTCGCCCACAACCCTACCAAAAGGGGGTCGTGAATGATTGTGGGGGCGCTGGACATTTTGGGCCAAATATCTTAAAATAATAAGATAGCGTTCTCCGTGATACGACGATTTATTGGGTTCACTTTCAGATTAGTGGCACCCATCACTTTGATGGTGCACCCATGAACAATATAAAATATAAACAAAGAAAATAAATTTTCTTTCACGCGATTTCTACGTGCAAATTTTATAATAACGCAGTGTGGGATGCCTTCTTGCAATTACAATTACTTTTGAACTTTGACATCTTTGACCTCCATGTACAAATTCTGAAACAACCGTCAGTAACAACTAGGACGCCTCTCTTAATTACAATTACTTTCTATTGTTTTCTGCGTGAATTCGACACTTCTCTTTGTTACATGCAAACTGTGGAAAACGCTATCTTGTTAGTGAAAGATCTTTAATTTGAAGCAGATAAGTTGCGTGGGTTGTCAAAAATCTTATAACACAAGAAAGCCTTCTCCGCGATTTTACGCGTGACAAATAGAAGCGTCAATTTGGCCAAGGTATTATGGCTATGTTCAGACACAACGACTTACGCTAGCGTAACGTTAATCGAGTGGTGTGAACTTGTGCGCGGCGTAGCGAACGCCAGTATTATCGCGCTCTCTTATACACATCTAGATGTGTATAAGAGACAGATCGAGTGGTGTGAACTTGTGCGCGGCGTAGCGAACGCCAGTATTATCGCGCAATCACTGGCGTACGGTAATCCAGCAACAGACCCCAGATTAGCGTACGCCACTGATTTACGACAGTCACGCATCGGTGATTTTGAACTCAGCCAAGATTTGACCAATCAAAATAAACATAGATGTAAACAGAAAATAAAATGCGTGAATTACGAATACGAATATTTCGCGCGAATACTTACGCTAGCGTTCATTAATCGCCCAGTCTGGACATCTCGCTAGTTACGCCATGGATTAACGTACGCCTGGCGTTAGATACGCCTGGCGTATCTCAAAGGTCTGAACGTAGCCTATAGGTAATTCAACAGAAGGACGCACATCTCCGCTCTCGAACATAGCGCGTGC